CCCAGCCTCTCCTCAGCCTCCAACAGTGGCAGTACAGCTGGGGATAGCCCTGCCTCCCCAGTGTGTGTGTGTGGGGGGGGGGTGTCCTGGGCACCTTGTGCCCAGCTCTGGTACTGAGGGCCTGGGTGGACCTGGGTGACACCCATAACCTGCATTCCCAGGACCCCCAGCTTGTCTCAGCCCCATGGCTCTGGTCCCCCCACAACCTGTCCCCCAGCTCCCAGGGTCTCACCAAGGGTCCTACCAGACAGGTCTCCAGCATCACTTCCAGGCATGAGCAGCCCCTGGTGCCACGGGGCCCCTGCTGGCAGCAGTAGCACCAGGCACAGGCCACACACGAGCCGAGTCACCTCCATCTTCCCTGCCCGCGTCTGCCTGGGCTAGGACGGTGGCCCCCTTTATTTATACCCATTTTGAGGTGGTTCCCTACCCTGCACTAAACCTGGCTGGTGGGAGGGTGTTAACCCTTTACACCCCTCACTGCAGTCAAAGGTGGGTGCAACAGGAACTGGAAAGTGCCTGATTCTCCCACCAGCCCTTGGGGGCATGATGGGTCTTGGCATTATTCCCACCCCCTGAAACCAATATTTTTATATCTATGGGCTACTGGGCAGTCAGACTATAGAGGAGAGCAAGCACTATCCCAGAGATGGGTGCAAGAGCAGGAGGTGGCTCACGCATTGGCCTCAGCCATAATACCCCCCAGATTAAGAGGGCAGATTAAGCTGGCCCCTGCCCGAACAGGTTAAGCCGGGGGAGGGGAGGGGGGCTTGTTGAGGGAGGAGTGGAAAGGCCTGGACTTGATTAGGTGGGGGGGGGGCACAATAGAGAGTGGGTGGAAGCAGCTGGGGAGGGGGGTTGTCTGGCTGGCCAGACAGATGGAAAGGTGTTGTGGGGAGGGAAGAGGGACGGGGGGTGTGAATCCAGGCCTGGCGCTGGGTAATGCCCCTGGCAGTGACTTGCCTGTTGCCACCCCCCCCTCCAAGATCATTCACACACATTTTTGGCTAGGCCCAGGGAATGGAGTAAGTGCCCCACCTCAAACATGCACACAACCACCCCTGAAAAACAACAGTGCTGATGCCTCCCATTAGTCCCTGCAGTTTAGCCCCTGGCCCCTGGATGTATGTATGTATGGGCACACATGTGCATGTGTGTGGTTGTGTACATAGATAATGAAAAGGGTATGTGAATACACATACACACACACACGACCACGCACACGTGTACATACACATATGTGTGTATACATGGATTTGTGCATGTGTATACATAATTGGGGGGGTAGTCTATGTATATGCACACATACACATACAAGGTGTGTGCACATATATGTGTGCACATACATGTATGCACATGCATACACATCTGTCTAGCTGCACACAAGTATATAAAGTCTGTGTTGGGGAGGGGGTGGTAACAGACCTACGCATACAGCTAGGCATACCTATAATAATATATATAGAGACAGGAAGAGCGAGTGAGCAAGTGAATATCTGTTGGTCTCTGTCTAATGCAGGGGCGGGCAATTATTTTGGGTGGAGGGCCACTTACTGAGCCATTGAGGGCTGCATGACAGGCAGCCAGGGGCAGATAAATGTTCATTTTCTACATTTTTTTAGGGGCCCCGCAGGCCAGATAGAATGGCCTGACAGACCATATCCAGCCTGCGGGCCACATTTTGCCCACCCCTGGTCTAATGGAGGTGTGGTATGTACATGTGTCTAGGTGTATATGTATGCATAGGTATGGGCTCATCCAGAGCCATACATTCCTCCAGGGGCTGCAGAGGCACAACTGCCCTTCCCCCCTCAACACCTTCCCCACCCCCTCTGTTTCCCCAACTGGTTTAAGGCCCAGTCAGAGGAAGCTGTTTTGGTCCAGGGCTGGGGAATTTCCCATTATGCAATGTGGTAGGGATGCTGGGTGGGGTGGGGCAGTGGCTGGGGCTCAGCTGCTTGCGGGGGGATGGGGGCAGAAAGCAGCCGTCTGGTTCACATCTCAGGTCTACACATGTGGAACAGGCCCAGCAGGGTAGGGGCTGGGCAGGGGGCAGTGCAGGGCTATATTGGACTCATTCTTTCCACTTGTAGCTCTGGCAGGGCCTGACCCTGGCTGGGAAGAGTCTGGCAGGGTGGTGAGGGAAGGGAACATCCTCAGCCTCCCACAGCAGGAGGCTGACGGACCAGGACATCCCCTTCCCCCTACTCTGGCCCTACCTGCCAGGGGCAGGCCAAAGCCAGTGCTTCTTGGCTGTGGGCCACAGGCTAAATTTAGCCCCAGGAGGTGCCCGCCAAGCCCCTGCCGCGGGAGCTATGTGCAGAATGTCCAGGACTGGGCTGTTGCCGGGGGGGCGCAGCAAGGCCTGGGTTCCTCCTCCCCCTGGTTAGACCCGGCAAGGATTCTTCATCTGCCATTCCAGCGCTTTTCCATAGGGAACAGGGCCCCTGGGTAAAAATGTAGCTACCTCTGGGGTGCAACAGCAACTGACCAGAAGCTCTCCACCTTGCTCCCCCCAACATCTAGGACGGTCCTGTCTATAGCCTGGCAGTGCCAGAGAATGATACTAAGAGGTTAGGGAGAGGCCAAGGGCCAGGACTCCTGGGTTCACCCCCTCCATTTCACCCCAATTACCAGCAGCACCCCACTACATCCCAGCCAGCCTCAAACAAGAAACCACTGGGATCCTACTTCCCACTTTATTTTAATACCATGGCAAAAGCAGCCATGAGCCTGGAGCTCCCCACAAGCAGGCTGGAGTGGAGCAGGCATGGCTTGAGGGACAGATGCTGCCTGGGGAAACCCCCATTGCAGCCAGCCCCAGAAGAGCAAGGGGCTGTGGTTTGGGGAACCAGAGGGAGCCCCCAGAAGAGCAAGGGGCTGTGGTTTGGGGAACCAGAGGGAGCGCTTTGCTTACTCCCCTCCCCCTCCCCCCCC